TGTATGTATATATATATATATATATGTATGTATATATATATATATATATGTATGTATATTAATTTTATCAATTTAAATAATTATAATTATTAATTATATTCATGAAGAGTCGGATATTTTTATTAAAATCATATATAGTAGCACAAATTTTGCATCATTCTATTGGCACCACTAAAAACGAAGAGATTATTATGTGCGATCATCGGATCATAACGATACACAACAGTTACCACAATGATACAAAACGTATTGGTGATATAACATATCATGATTGGCATTTGCACATCGTCGTGTGACCACACGTAATAATTTCTCCTAAAAATTACTGTTGATAGAGCACATAGAGAACTATAAAAGACCAAAGCACATATATACATATAAATGAGATAAATTAATACCACTACTAATAATAAAATAATGAGAACAACTTCAAAAATTAAGAAATCTAATAATAAGAAATAAACATTTTCTTACTAAATAATTGTTACATGATAATTTAAATAAAAATCACCTGAGCGACGTAGCTAGCTAGATCAATTTGTTTTAAAAAATGTGATTCATCACAATAATTGGCAATAAGGCTTTACTTGGGACACTTTTTTTTATTGATTTTGATTATTATCATGATTTTTTATGAAATTTGTCCGATGTTGAATAACATCTCTCAATAAAATACATATATTATTTATTATAAATACATATGTAATAGGTTTATTATCATATAGCATATTAAATATTCTTTTATTCTTAAAAAAAGAAAAAAAAAACAATGAAATAAAAAGTTGACAGGACTAAAAATCCAGTACGAGTGGAAGCCTACCCCCTGTAAGCATTGCAAATCTCTGGTTCACTCCTCAGCTACTTGTCCTACTAAGCCGGAGATCACTCCACCGACCACTCAAACTGCTCCTCCATCTTCTACTACTGTTCGTGGGAGAAGTAAGAGCAGAAGGCCCTAAGGGAGGATTGCTCCTCCCTCCTCTACCATTCCCCCTTCTTTTATTCCTTCTTCTATCGTGCTTTCAACCTAGCAACACAAAGCTCCTCCACCTCCATCCACTATTCTGATACCCCCTTTAAGTACTCCTGTCACTTCCAACCCTCAACCTCCTCTGCCAACCATCCAACCCAACCAGCCTTCTTTTTCACAACCTCCCCCCAGCCTTCCCTCTACAAACCTGAATCCTAATGACGAACCTTCTTCCAACATTCCAAATTTAAACTCTCCTCATGAGGAAACCTCCTCCTCCACCTCCACTTCTATCCCTACCTTCAAATCCTCTACACCGAAAGTTCAATCTCCCAACAAATTTGATGCCTTGCACTTATTAGAGGAAGATCAAGATAATTTGACAGAATGCTCTAACCCGTCTACTGAACAAATGGCAGGTACCAAAGAGAAAGATGTTGTTCATGCGCAATCGGGTAAGACTACCAAAAATGCTAAGGGGAAGCAAGCCAAAAAGGCCCCTTCTCACCTTCGTTAGCCATGTCCGTCCCTTTTATAGCTTGCTGAAATATTAGAGGTTTTAATAGTCTAGAGAAGGTGTTCTGTTATAAGCGTATATCTGCCTCTTTCAAGCTTGATATGTTGTGCATTTTGGAGAATATGATTAATGCTTCTTCTCTTCTTAATCCTTTCTTCTCCGACTCTCATGCGATTTTTCCCAACGAAAATTCTTGTCACAATTTCAATTTGTCTGCTCTAGGTCGCATATGGATTAAGTGGAATTCCTCTAAACTGGATTTCACCCCTTATATCATCTCTCCTCAACTTATTTCTGTTCAAGTGGTTAGTGGTGCCTTTCCATCTTTTATGCTTTCGGTTGTTTATGCTGAGAATGATAGACAAGGAAGACTGCCTCTTTGGGATTTGTTTCGGAAATGTGCTTATTCACAAACTTCCCCATGGATCATTATGGGTGACTTCAATTGCTGTAGATTTTCTTCTGACAAATCGGGTGGTAATCCTCTTACACACGGTAGCTTGGGGGATTTGAATTCAGTAATATTTGATGCCAATCTTACTGAACTTAATTCGGTGGGAAATGTTTTAACCTGGTAAAGGCAATACAATCCCATTCACATTAAACTTGACAGATTTCTTGTCAATGATCAGTGGACTAAAAATTTTCCCAACTCTTTCTACTCAGTCCAAGTGCCTTCCTGCTCCGACCACTGTCCTCTGATTCTTCATAATTCAGAAACTACTGCATCTCACCACCGGTTCCTTTTCAAGATTTTCTGGACATCACTTGACGGTTACTGGTACATTTTGCTTGAGGTTTTTCTGCTATTCCTAATGGTAACCCTTTGGCTGA